GTCACTAAAACTTACACACTTAACCAAACAAAACAACAATGAATGCTGTTTGTTTTGATCTTAACCCTACTTTATCCCATTTACCTTGTTTATTGAAATATTACAATATTCTCAAAATATTGTGACGTAATTCTCAAAACCTCCAGCAGCCCTAATACTTCATCATAAATGTGGGTCATGTTTCTTGGTTTGGGTGCAACGAGCAGCCTCAATCTGCCTCGTTTGGAGAGACTTATGTTGCGTTGAAGATAAACGTTGGGAAATGAAACGTCCACTACCTTTTCAGATTGGGGTCTGTCCTGCACGTGATCAGAGAGGCCAGAACCAGCAGTACGATGTTGTAGATCAGAATCAGACCAACTGGAAGCAGGAAACCCCAAAACATCGGCTTCCCAAAGTCGAACCGTTTGGCCTTATCCAGAGCTACGAGCCAGCAGCTAGAGGACCAAAAAGAATCAGACATGTCAGACCTGGGACTTTGTCAACAAGATTTGATCAAATACACAGAATTTTATTTTGAATTCTAATTTAGATAATTTTGATAGGTTGTAACTGGAAAATTAAGAATTGAAGAAGTGATGCAAAAAGTGTCAGTTAATAAATTAGTAAAGGTAATGATATTAATAGACCCACAATTCCTCCTGCCTGTATCCCAGAGGATTGTCAACACTGTAGGTGGCTCCCAGTGTGATTGCCATGACAACTGCTGGGACTCCTAAGAGGAGACAGGAAGTTAAAACCGTTAAACTTACTTTAAATTAAACCTTAAATTGAAAAGCATATCCTTTACTTGATGTTCGCACCATGTTCTATTAGGAAATCATAATGGTCATTAACTGTTTGGGCTCAGACTTTGATGTACTTCAACAATTTATTTAAAAGAGTTTGATATTTTGGGACGTTCTCTTTCTGACAGTGTTCAGATTAACACTCTCATGTCTGAATGCATGAAGCTACGGCCAGCAGCTCGTTAGCTTAGCGTAAAGACTGGAGCTAGCCTGATTACAGGTTGTACGTGTTGGAATATTATAATATAACAACAACAAACCTTAAGTTTTATTGATATATTTCCTCCTGTTTTATGTGTTTTATAAGTACATTTGACTTTTTAATTGAATTTCATTGTATTTAGTTTTTTTTCATCATTTCATTCTGCCAATTTATTTTAATTTTGTTTTCCTGTGTAACACATATTGCAAGATTTTTTTGATTATACATTATACAACACTTTGACTTTAAGTTTACTATACTGCACCTACTACATGCAAAAACATGGTTTGTAACACGTCTGTAGCTAAAAGCAGATGTAAGTGTGTATAAAAGTACTTGTACACTTCCTGTTGACTAACACAAGTGGAGGCTGCTGTATGTTAAAAAAATAATAAAAAATAATAATGGTCATTAACTGTTTGGGCTCAGACTTTGATGTACTTCAACAATTTATTTAAAAGAGTTTGATATTTTGGGACGTTCTCTTTCTGACAGTGTTCAGATTAACACTCTCATGTCTGAATGCATGAAGCTACGGCCAGCAGCTCGTTAGCTTAGCGTAAAGACTGGAGCTAGCCTGATTACAGGTTGTACGTGTTGGAATATTATAATATAACAACAACAAACCTTAAGTTTTATTGATATATTCCTCCTGTTTTATGTGTTTTATTTCATTGTATTTAGTTTTTTTTTCATCATTTCATTCTGCCAATTTATTTTAATTTTGTTTTCCTGTGTAACACATATTGCAAGATTTTTTCGATTATACATTAACTTCATTATTACAGCAACACTTTGACTTTAAGTTTACTATACTGCAGCTACTACATGCAAAAACATGGTTTGTAACACGTCTGTAGCTAAAAGCAGATGTAAGTGTGTATAAAAGTACTTGTACACTTCCTGTTGACTAACACAAGTGGAGGCTGCTGTCTGTTAAAAAAAAAAGCTGAACATTACTGAAGTTTAAAAATGTCCTTATATCTGCTTCCAGCTAGGTTATAGTCCGTAAAAAACATTCATTACATGGCAACATTTGAACTTCTCGTACCCCATCCCACAGCGAGGCTGAATTTACTCCAGTGTGGAGGAAGACCACGGCGACTCTTCCGGAAAATTAGCACCAGCTGAGTGCCGTACACGCTGTTCCACATGAAGGTGGCTAACAGGAAGAACTGCAGCAGAGCCGCCACCGCCGAGCACGAGCCTTGGTCCGGCTCCACGTGCTCATCAGACCCTGGGATAATGTTGGTCTGACTGTTGACCTGCACCTGAGCGTTGTTCTGTGTGCTTGAGTTTCCAACGCCAGAGAGGAAGGTGATGATGAAGGCCAGCAGGCTGAGGTAGATGCACAGCGGAGCGATTTTAGAGTTCTTGTTGGTCTGCACCCCACGATAGTTTTTCTGAAAGCTAAAGAGAGAAGATTTGAGACACAGTTGTTATATTTTGAGAATAAGGTACTGTAGAAAACTTAAAAGCCTGATGATTCCCAGTTCTGGAGCCATGAGAAGTGTCTTTTTCCTCTGCTTTCCAAACAGATTTCTTCAGGTTTATACTGGATGGACATCAGAGATACAGATGTCCTCGGGAAGTGGAAGTCACACTGATTGAATTGATGTGTGTTCGGACTGAGAAAATCTGCGATTCTTAAGCTAATTGTGTCTCATGTGTTGCGTCTCCCTGTTCTGAAATAAAATAAAGGTAGTAAAAATGTCGTAGAGTAGCAGTAGAAAGTACTGTACTTGTTACTTTCCACCAGAGAGTGACTCTGAATAAGGGGCACTGAGGAAAGCTAACCAAAAGGCTGAAAGTGAAATGCTTAAAGAAATGCCAACCTAATTGCTAACTTAAAGAACTGACTGTGAAAGAGTAGACGGTGAGAAAGTAAACAAAATACAATGGAACATTTTGATGTAATATAGTATAACGCCTTACTTCACTTTAATGTGGTGAATGATCGTTACAACCAAACCCAGAATGGAAAAAGAAAGCCCAACGATAGAAATCACATCCAGTGCTTCTGCATATTGATATTTCTCTCTGAAGGACTGAAAAACAAAGACAGAATCACATTTTCATCATTCAAGTCTTTGAACAAGTAGCTTCAAGCAAGAAAGTGTACATCTGATTAAATACCTGATGGTCATGGTGTAACCTTTTAGCTCATCAACATGATAAATCTTTTTTGTCCAGCAGACTTCCCACAACATTCTTCTCCACTCATTTGAAATTTATTAACATTCAGTGCACACTTGTGATATTCACCCAGAGAGCAGCGAAGTTGGTGGTGTGGTTGCAGAAACATCTCAGGACTCCGTCTGAAGCGTTCCCTTTAGAGCAGCCGTCGGTGCTCCAGTCCTGCAGACTGTAGTCCCAGAAGACACAGGCGAAGTCGTACAGAGACGTCCCATTCATCATCTGAGACAGCAGCAGATACAACATCTGTAAGCCTCTAACTTTGCTCATGCATTTACACAGTTTGACCTTGTAACAGAAGAACTGAAATCAAACATCAGCTCTTTGGGAAAACAAGAGCAATTCATGCTTTTCGCAACCAATGCGAGTCTGCATGGCGCAATCTTCGCCATGTCTACTAAGGTCCGCATACAATTTGTAACCCGTTAGCTTGTTTTGAAGTTGTTAGCCAAAAACAACAAACAAAGGAGTTCAGCATGTGTGCATGCTTACATTTGCAAGTAATTGGCAACTAATTTGATAATCAATTACTACAGTAATTTTTTGTACAGGTTGTAGATGTAATGTGAATGTTTGCTTGTTTTCTTGGTCTTTTTATAATTGTAAACCTGATGTCTTAAGGTTTTGGACCTGGAGAGATGGATAAAACACAACATTTGAACATTGTGAGAAACTTTTGAGAAATTGTGATGGACCAAACAAATAATCGATAAAATCATGAAAGAAATCAACAGATTAATTGATAATCAGAATAGTTTTTAGTTGCAACCCTACTAATTAGCAGTAAACAGAGTGAGCAGCTGAGGCTGATGTGGAATATCATCAGTTCTGTAGGTATTTGGTCATAAAAGTGTTGGACCCATCAACACGTTGACCTTATGATGGCGCTGGACTAAAAGTCAGAGAATCACGTTATCAAGTTATTGCAACACATTCTTACTCCCAACTCAACACATGGGCGCTTAGTCAAGACCCCTTGGTGTCGCTTTTTAAGGCCCTGGGTACTCTTTAGTGTCGTTTTTCATTATACCTCCTCTACAACAGAAAAGAATCCCACAGCAGCCACTGTCATGATGAATCCACAGCAGATCATTCAGGTTTATTGGTGCCATAAAAAACAAACCATTAACAGTTCCACTGCAACAAACAGCTACTTTTTAATGGGTGACAATTAGACTGTATGGAAACAAATTTAGGTTAAAAACACAGGTTGTAGCCACAGTATCAGACTTTTACATGAAATCGTGTGTGCGTTCGGGAAAAGTCGGTACAGGCCCTTAAACAATTGTTAAATTAAAATCTGATTTTCTTACCGTTGGTCTGAACAGCATCTCCACGTGTTGCGGCACCACGCTGCGCTCCTGACCTCTAACGCTGGCCGACAGGACCCTGATGGTGGCCCGTCCCCTTCTATACCGCCTCGACCTGAAGAAACGGTCGTTCTGGTAGAGGACGAAACCCAGCGAGACGTTTGATGGCTTCTGACGGCCACTGACAGCCTCTTCAGACACAAGAAGAAACTGACAGGTTTATTTGTAGAACATTTATAAAACTTTTTACAAAGATGTGCAATTTTGCATGTTTGAGACTTTAATAACCTTTATTTTATGCAGTCAACTACCATGCAGTAAAACAGCGGAGTGAGCCATAAAACAGTTTGCAGGTTCACTCAGTTGCAGTTAACTCACCTGGTGTGAATCTTATGTATATGAGGGCGTCGGCTACGAACCCGTTTTCCACCACAACTGTTGACACGTTGGTGTTCAGCTGAATTCGGTCAGCAACAAAACTGCCAGACGTTCCTAATCACAGAAACACAAACTGCTCCGTCTTCTTTGCTGCTATATTTCAGATGTTGGTTTGCAAAACAGAGAATCATTTGTTTCTTACTTCACCACCTGGCTGCACATGTGTTTATTATTATTATTTATTATTATTATTATTGTCCCCTTTAAGCTTCTGTAGCCCTCGACATCAACCGCTGGCTATAAAAGACGTGGACGTGGCCACCCATTTCATTTAGTTGCGGTTTTTGGGAGATCAGTGAAAAACAAATCCAGCTGTGGTGCTGACTGCCAGCAGCTTTTGGACAAAAACAAAGATAAGTTCACAAAAAAGTCCAACCTACTGTTATTGAAATGCTGCAAAAATACAGAAACATGAGGAAAGACCAGCAGTACAAACAGACAATAAAAGAAAGACTAAACCGGAGACACAGCAGGACACAGAACAGAGTTATGACTATTAACATCATAAAATTTCGCTGAACCTTTATCCAGCAGATTAAATAACACCGCAGCTGATGTGGACTTTAGACTAATTAAAAGCCTGGAGTCACCTGGACAGAGCAGGACAGACGATCATATAAAATCAGTGGGACATCATGGTGGTCTGCTGGTAAATAAAACTTTGTTCCATAATAATTCAGTCATTGGTTATTTATGATCCCTGTCCTGGCTATAGTTCTAGATGGATAAGACCAGCTTTCAAAGTGCAGAACTGAACACCTGAGAGGTTGATCAGATCATGTGACCGGCTTCAAACCGGAACAGTCTCGTACTAAATCATGACACTGACCTGAGAGAGAGGTGAACTGGACTCCCTGAGTGTCTGCAGCAGGGATTTGTGCCGACTGGACCACCAGGTTTGGTTGGACTACTTGACTCTGAGACGTGTTGAGACTTTGGCTGAGGTTCACAGAGAGCTGGTCCAGGGTCACCGTAAGGCTGGCCACAAAATACACAGAAATATATAGAAATACTAACATTGTCAAATCTGCAGGGTAAAAAATTCAGATGAAATGAAAGGCTGAACTCGACTTTAGGCACTGCTCATTTACCAACTGAAAACCATTTGGCAACCGGCAGTGCTTGTAGAAGCAGCAGCCGGTAGCTCCTTCAAACTTCGCTATACTTTTGTTTTTTATTTGTTTTTTATGGCTTTTTTTCCAAACATGCGTTACCTCTGACATTAGTACTGTCATTGGAAGATGAAGACGGGGTTTTTGGATTAAAGAGCAGCAGACCACTATCCACCCGGCCCAAACAACCGGACCTGGCGCCACGGCGGGTGATCGCTCAGAGGAGAGGAAAGAGAGCCAGTGAGGAGCCATGCTGGCCCAGCTGGGACTTAATTCTGCTCCTAAAGATCCGGTCTGGACCAAAAGGGACTCATGTTGACCAGACAACAGAATTCAGAGACTGTTGTGCCCACTTCGTTACAGAGACCTGCCCAATCAACAGCCCGGATCAAGCACTCGGCAGGTGGTCCAGGTTCTGAGCTGTCAGAGCAAGTCTCCGCCCAGATGAGAGAAGGTGGACTCTGTGTTTTACAGGGTTTTTCGGGGTAGATACGTGTCTGTATATATGTATATAAGAAAGTGTATTGTTTTATTTTATTATTATATATATTATATGTTACCATATTTTAATACAAGCCTCCACTTAATTACATGTTGTGTGTGCAGCATGAAGGAACTACACATTTGGTTTCGTTATGCAGCCTTGTGCTGTTTAATGACTAACAACCTTGTACCTGAAATCAAACAGCCAAGTGGATGCATTTAAAGTCCGAAGAGAGTTTGTAAGAGAAAGTATTGAAAACTGTTGTTTGGTCAGATTCTTCAGATCTTGTTTTATTCATTTAGAAAACTAACAAACGGCTTTAAAATCTGAAGTATTGACATCAGGATTTTTCTTGTCTCTTTTAAGGCTCCTGTATGGCTTCGATCTCAAGCCAAAACTGCTTCAAGTGAGTGTCCCGGCTTTTATTAAATGCAGATGAAGCTGGTGTAAAGCTCTGATTCATTGTTGAGGAACTTGTAAATAGCTTTCACATCAATATCCAAGTCATGATTACAACAGAGGAACTGGGGATTTCTTTTCTGAAAGCTCTGATATGAACTGAAAACCAAACAACTGTGGACACCTCATTTTCAAGCTAATTGAACCCTATTTTGATCCTGAATCCCCCACTTCAGCTACAGTCAAACGTATTTCTGTCATGAGAAAACCTCTCTCCCCAGCTTCTGGCTACAATAGGTCTGTAAAGGTGAACATTTTTTACACGGAACACATGGGCTGAGATGTGAACAAGCTAGCAGAGGCAGATTCTTTGCAGTAATTGTAACAAAGATTAGATGAAGTTTACCCCAGAGTAGCGTTGTTTTCCTGGCTATCGTCCGGCGTGCTGGCATTCAGCAGCTGGCTGACTGTAGCTACTGCTGCCACCCTGACAGTCTGCAATGCAAACGTTAACACGGCACACACCGAGTATAGTTACATCAAAATATGTATTAAAAGTGATATATACAGTACATTTAAGTTTTTTATCCTTCAAATTATCACTATTGTATAGTCGTCGTAGCTTGGTCTTGGCCGTCTACTGCACACTTTAAACTTAGTATTAAAAGAGCAGTTTGTTCTTCTTCAGATTCGTTGACAGTCTGTACCTCTGTGGCGTTTGGAGACAGCAGCAGTGTGTTGGCAATCTGAGCTGCAGTTGTAACATTTTCTGCCGTTAGCTCTTCGGGGTTGGAGGTCAGAATTTGAGTGCTGCTCGCCAGCATCTCTAAATCAGCTGGACCAGTAAGCTGAGAGAGGAAAGACATTTGCTTTCATTCATGCAAAATGTTATCCTTAACCTGAACTAAAAATGGGATGGGATGTTCCTTTCTACATCAATGCCAAAACTAGCCATTAAACTGGAATTGGTGGAAATTTGGGACCATTCGTCTGTTTGTTTTTAACAAATTAACATGCAGCCTTTCCTTCACTGTTTCCTGTGATGTGATTCTCACATTTTGTTGTATGTCACTGAGCGTCTGGTCACACTGGAGCACCTGTGGTGGACGGTCGAAACTCAGTGTTCCGTTCTTCATGGAACATCTAGTCGAAGCCCGTGGTTTACCAGCTGGGTGGAAATTTAAAAAGGGTTGGAAAGAAAAACACCAGAATATTATGGATGGTTGGACACTTACAGATTGATAGATAGCAATAGATGAATATGTAGAGTGATGGTTGGTCGAAACTCACCACCACTTGTTCCTTTGGGACATTTTTGCTCAGAATATGCAAACCAGCCGATGGGTGTGCGCGGGAACAGGTATCCATTGAGCTTATCTGCTTCACAGAAATTTCCTAAGAGGACAAGTTTAACAAAAAATAAGCTGTGTTTTGATTTGCTGGTCAGTTGGTCTTGGAAAGGAGGTTGACATTAACACTAAATAATGATCTGCTACTAAGTGTTGATGTTCTATTGAGTGGGTAAACAAGACGCTTGAAGGTGTGTTCAGACAGAACACGAGGCAAATTGTAGATGAGGTGTGATTTCATTCAAAGGCAGAAAAAGATGTGACTGGATGCAAGTTTGTTTGATTTGAAAATGTCTCAAATGAAAATTGAGTGTCGTCTGCATACAGTGTTAATTCATAGACTCCATATGCTGGTGTGACCTTAAGAACTTGCTCAGTATTTGACTAAGAAATTGTATTTTTAGTAATGGTATGAGTTTAAATTTATAAATCAAAAGACTATGTGGTGAAACAAAACTAAAATTGTGACAGGATAGCAGTACCCAAAATGAGTGTTAGCCTGCTGTTGATTTGACAAGAAAGTAGAGCCCAGTGTCCAAAATGGAGAAAGTCAATCCGCTGGAGACCACGAAATATTCAATAAATACGATTTTGGGGCGAATGGTAGCTAGAGGATTTCCGCTTGAGAACAGATCAGAAGCAACTTTAATATTTTTAGAAATAATTAGAAAAAACTGTGGACTGTACTTCTGTTGCTAAACCTGACTCACCTACTGAGCATGTTGCTCCGGTCCATTCATCAGGACAGATACAGACACCATTCAGTGATATCCCACCGTTTTTACAAACCAGAGGAGTGGTAGTGGGGGGGATGGTAGTAGTAGTAGTAGTAGGATGAGTAGTGGTAGTAGTAGTAGTAGTAGTAGTAGGATGAGTAGTGGAAGTAGTAGTAGTAGTAGGATGAGTAGTGGTAGTAGTAGTAGTAGTAGGACGAGTAGTAGTAGTAGTAGTAGTAGTAGGATGAGTAGTGGTGGTAGGATGAGGAGTTGTAAGAATAGGAATAGTAGGAGGAGGATCAGTAGCGGTACTAGTAGTATTAGGAGGTTGAGTTGTAAGAATAGTCGTGGGAGGAGGAGGAGGAGGAGGAGTAAAAGTATTAGGAGGATCAGTAGCGGTAGTAGTTGTATTAGTAGTATTAGGAGGATCAGTAGCGGTAGTAGTTGTATTAGTAGTATTAGGAGGATCAGTAGCGGTAGTAGTTGTATTTGTAGTATTGGGAGGATCAGTAGCGGTAGTAGTTGTATTAGTAGTATTAGGAGGATCAGTAGCGGTAGTAGTTGTATTAGTAGAATTAGGAGGAGGAGTAGTGGTAGTAGTATTAGGAGGATCAGTAGCGGCAGTAGTAGTATTTGGAGGATGAGTAGCGATAGTAGTAGTATTAGGAGGAGGAGTTGTAAGAATAGTAGTGGGAGGAAGAGGAGGAGGAGTAATAGTATTAGGAAGATGAGTAGTGGTAGTAGTATTAGGAGGATCAGTAGCGGCAGTAGTAGTATTAGTAGTATTAGGAGAATCAGTAGCGGTAGTAGTAGTAGTATTAGGAAGATGAGTAGCGATAGTGGTATTAGGAGGATCAGTAGCGGTAGTAGTATTAGGAAGATGAGTAGTGGTAGTAGTATTAGGAGGATCAGTAGCGGCAGTAGTAGTATTAGTAGTATTAGGAGGATCAGTAGCGGCAGTAGTAGTATTTGTAGTATTAGGAGAATCAGTAGCGGTAGTAGTAGTAGTATTAGGAAGATGAGTAGCGATAGTGGTATTAGGAGGATCAGTAGCGGTAGTAGTAGTAGTATTAGGAAGATGAGTAGTTGTAGTGGTATTAGGAGGAGGAGTTGTAAGAATAGTAGTGGGAGGAGGAGGAGGAGGAGGAGGAGGAATAATGGAAGGAGGAGGAGTAAGAAGAGGAGGAGGAGTAGAAGTCAACGTTGGTTGACTAAGTGGATCTGCACTGGTAGTTGAATAAGTGGCTAAAGTACTTGCAGTATTGGGATAAGAGGTGGTACTGGTCAGATCACTGCTAGTTGTAGTTGTTGTAGTAGCATTGAGGAAGTCGGAAGTGGTTAAAGTTGTTGCAGTACTGGGATAAGATAATGTATTGGAGAAGGTACTGGTCAGATCACTGCTAGTTGTAGTTGTAGTATTTTGGTGGTAAGTTATAGTGGTTTGTCCAGTAGCATTGGTTTGGTCAGTAGGAACAGTAAAAGAAGCATCAGCAGTAGTAGTAGGAGAAGAAGTAGTAGTAGTAAAGGGAACAGTAGCAGAATCAACAGTGGCAGTAGCGGTAGAAGCTAGTATTGGGAATACAGTGTTGGAGGTTTGGTCGGTGGTATTTGATGCTGATGATGTTGTAGTGGTGGACTGTGCTCCAGTTCTAGAGACGGCCAAAGGAACAGCTGTGAGGAGACACAACATTTTTACAATAATTAGACTGGATAGGACAAAGTTGTTACTGTGCAGTCAAACTGTGATCCAACTCTAAAACCCAAGTAAGGGTCAAGCTAGCTGCTCTGTGAGGCTCTACTTACACACAGCAATGTTTTGAACTAAATGCTAATGTGGTGGGGAAAGGTTTCCCAAGTGCAGGTTAATGTGTGGTGGTGTTGAATGCAGCCTTGACTTTGCTCCTCCTCTGACCAACCTCCTTATTAGACTTAGGTTATGTAAGACACCTGTGTTCCCTTGCTCTCTCTCTGCGTCCTGATCTGTCCCTGCTGTGGTTGTGGTTGGTCTTGTGGCCTAGGTATGTGAAAGGAATAATTTCATGCACATCCATTTCCCCTTAACAGTTGATTCTGTTGCTCACCTGCTCCTTGACCCTGTTAGGAACCTCCTTTTCTCCTGCCCTGTGACTGTTGCTTCTTCATGACCCATCACCCCTCACTTTTCCAGGTTCCTCGTTGTTTTACACCACTGCTGTTTTGTCCCTTTTAGGCTCAATCCCAATGCCCCCCCCCCCCCCCCCCCCCCAAGCCCTGAACCCTCACAGACTTTACTTGCGTCACTTGCAAAGTGATTAAGTTGCTGTAAGCGGGACAGCACTTTGCCACTTTATCACGTTACCTTGACGACGCTGAAACACGTTGCGCACTTTATTTTATGTTTTTGCCTGATTTTTAGGTATTGCAGGCACTTGTCCTACAGAGTGGAGAAGTAAATGTCAATTTACATTTGTCAATGATCATTGATGCACTATTGTTGGTCAAAACAGCATCATTAAGAAAAAACCAAAATAGATAGTTGAATAAACTCTGTGTGTAATTAGGTGACTGCATTCCCCGGACTTACCGTACCGTCTTACACCTTGGTTGAGAAAAATTTTCAACAAAAAAATCAGTGTTGTCCATGCTTGTTGTTTTACTCGTCTTCGTCTTTTTCTTCTCATAAGGCAAATTTTCCGTGATGTTTCTCTCGCTTCAGAGCTTCCTCTGGTAACCCCAGTGTTTCACATCATGACTCTAAGAACTGTGGGCAATTCTCTCAGGCAAAGTCTGCAGAAATGCAGAGTTAAGAAAAGGGTGTAAAAAGGGCTCTAAATGTCCACGGAAGAGCCCTCGTGCACTTGACAGTTTGAAAGTGGGACAGCCCTAAGCCCTCACGGACATCCCAGCAATGCGCCTCAAAGTCACACTGGGAATGGGCTGTAGTTTCCTGTTTTGTCCCCCTTTTTCGTTTGTTATCCAACGAAGGTTAAAGTCCAGGGCAACTGGACTTGGTTGAAGATACTGGAAGACGTTTCGTCCCTCATCCAAAGGACTTCTTCAGTTCTGACTGACTGGCAGGGAAACTCAGCTATTTAACCTCAGTGGGGTCGTTGGCCCGGGTCATCGATACCACTGGTTCGTTAGTGTTCCTGGTTGCTGTGACGACAGTCGTTACGGTCGTTAAGGCTACCTGTGGCCAAGACTGAACGACCTTCGTTGGTATCTTCACCTGAGGCCAATAGGTTACGTTTGTTGAGTTTCCTGGGAAGTGATGAAAGGACAGCATTGTAAGTGGGGGATAAGTGGTGGCGTAGACCCCCTCCCCTGTTCAATGACGGCTTCTCCACCCTGGTGTAGATGCTTCCTTGACACCTCTTTCAAACCATCCGTCTTCTCTGTCTAAAATGTGCACCTGGTGGTCCTCAAACGAGTGTCCTCTGTCCTTCAGATGTAAGTAGACAGCAGAGTCTTGACCTGAGGAGTTGGCCCTTCTGTGTTGAGCCATGCGTTTGTGTCGTGGTTGTTTAGTCTCCCCAATATACAGGTCTGTGCATTCCTCACTGCATTGGACCGCATACACTAGATTGCTTTTCATGTGTTTGGGTGTGCGGTCTTTGGGGTGGACCAGCATCTGTCTTAGTGTGTTCTTGGGTTTAAAAAACACAAGGATGTTATGTTTGTTAAAAATCCTCCTGAGTTTCTCTGATACTCCAGACACGTATGGAATCACAATGTTGTTGCGTTTGACCTCCTTTTCCTCCTCCCCTGTAGTTTTGTTCTTCTTGGATCTTGTGGCTGTTTTCACAAAGGTCCATTTAGGGTATCCACAGGCTGTAAGTGCCCCCTTCAGGTGGTTCTGTTCCTTCTCTCTGGCTTGGGCGCTTGTTGGTATGTTTTCCGCTCTGTGGTGCAGTGTTCTCATGACCCCTAGCTTGTGCTCCAGTGGGTGGTGGGAATCGAAGAGTAGGTATTGATCTGTTTGTGTGTGTGTTTTCTGTAAACACCAATCTGCAGGCTCCTGTCCTCTTCAATGTGTACAGCGCAGTCCAGGAAGGCCAAACTGTTGTTGTGAACATCTTCTCGTGTGAACTTGATGTTACTGTCCAGAGTTGATGTGTTCTGTGAAGGCTTGCACTTCCTGGCTTTTAATTTTGACCCAGGTGTTGTCCACATATCTGTACCAGTGGCTCGGTGCTGTTCCTCTGAAGGAGTTGAGGGCTTTATTCTCCACTTCTTCCATGTAGATGTTGGCCACAATCGGGGATACCGGTGAGCCCATGGCACAGCCATGCTTCTGTCTGTAGAATCCACCGTTGTACTGGAAGTAGGTGGTGTTTAGACAGAGGTCGAGTAATTTATCAGATTTGGTCAGGGCTGAGGCTAGTTCTGTTGTCCAGGGTGTTGTCTTGTGTTAGCCGTTTCCTAACGGTTTCTACTGCCTCTATGGTGGGGATGCAGGTGAACAAAGAAGTCACGTCATAGGATACCATGGTTTCATCTGGATCCAGTTTTAGTCCTCGAACTTTGTTTACAAAGTCAATAGAGTTTTGGACGTGGTGAGGCGTGTTTCCCACCAATGGAGCTAAGATGGTGGAAATGTGTTTGGCAATGTTGTAGGTGACCGAGTTAATGCTGCTGATAATCGGCCTGAGTGGGGCTCCTTCTTTGTGTATCTTGGGTAGTCCATAAATGCATGGAATGGCTTCTCCAGGATACAAACGGTAATATTGTTCACGGGTGATGGTGTTGTCCTTCTGTAACTGTTGTAGACATTCTATGGCCTTTTTCTTGTATCCGCTGGTTGGGTCTCGTCTCAGTGTCTCATACGTGTTTGTGTCCATTAGTAGTGTGTTGACTTTGTTCTGGTAGTCAACTGTGTTAAGTACTACCGTGCATCTTCCTTTGTCCGCAGGTAGGATAGTGATGTTTTGATCCTTGCTCAGAGATGTCACAGCCTTCCTTTCTTGGATGGTGAGGTTGGAAGGGGGGGCCTTCGCATTAGAAAGGGCTGCAGATACCTTTAGTCTGAGCTGTTCCGTTTCTGTTAATTTGTTTTTCCTAATGGCCGATTCTGTGGCTGTGATGAGGTCTACTATCGGTAGTTGCTGTGGTGTAATGGCGAAGTTTAATCCTTTGGCCAGAACGTCTTTCTCTGGTTGGGTGAGTTCCCTATCTGACAGGTTTTTCACCCATCTGTTGTCTGTTTCAAGTGTTGTGGGGTTCTTGTCCTTTCTCCTCCAAGACAATTCTCCTGTTTTTAGTTTGTTGTTTTTGCTCTAGTTTAATGTTTGGTTTAGTTCCACCTTTTCCATATTTGGTTATCTTTCTGTTTATAATTTGTACTACTTTGGTTTAGATCTGATTTGCTATAGTTGTATGTTCTTGTGTGGTGTTGGCAATATAGTTTGCCCTTGTTCAGCCAACTGGGTTACTTTATTGCTGTGAGGTTTGTAGTGCTGCACTTAACGTGGGTAGTGGTACCACTCCTGGCCTCTCAGTGTAGTCTGCCTCTCCACAAGTGACCTCTGCTTAGTTTTGGTTAGCTATTTTGGGGCGCTGGATTTATATATGTACTTTATTTGAATTCATATTAAAGTCGTTTTTAAATAATTGTAATAAAATAAGTTGTTTTATCTACCATTTTAGTGCTTATTGCTGCTTCACATTTCCTTTCAACAGTTCCAGCCCCAGATTGTTTGTTTTTGCCTATTAAAAATGTATTTTGCTATATTTTGAATCACATCTGCCTCTAACGTTCCTGTGTGCTTTTTTTTCTCTTATTGTCCAAATAATCAAGACAGTATTTCCTGGAGTGCAATTCCCTAGGTGGTGTAGTTAGTCTTTCATTCATCCCCCCCCCCCCCCCCCCCCCCCCCCCTTCCTGGTTCACCATGCCAACATCAGCATGCTAACAAAATGGAAATTCTAACATTTTGATGTTTAGCAGGAACAATGTTAACCATCTTAGTTAGCATGCTAGCTAACTGGCAGTAAACACAGTCAGTCACAAGTCTTTAGTTACAAAGTGTTGGACACTAACATGTTAATTAGACTACATGGCTAGCATTAGAATTATATTGTCATATCATATTGTAACCATACCTATTGGTATCCATTGTATTGGGGCTGCCCATGTTTTGTACAAAAAAGAAATAAAGAATAGTAGTTGAGAGATTTCAGTCTGGACCAAAGTGGAGGACTGACTGAACTTGCTCTCAATCGACAAGCTGCTAACGTGCTTCAACATTTTTAAAGATTCAGTGTGTAATATTTCTGAGGGTTTATCGACTGAAATGCAACATATCTGACTGTTTTCTGTGGTGTATAAAGACCTTTCATAATGAACATGTTTTTAGGCAGACAGGTCGGGACAGATGCAGACAGTTGATGACAGAAATCACTGATGTAATCATTGCAGATTTTCCCAGATGGAAGGCTTTGATGTGGGACAGATGTTTTCATACGGTGCTGAAGTTTTCTGTTTTCTGCTGGACAGGTAATTAACTTAAATTTGTCAGACTTTGGTGATGTAAATGAAAACTGTTGTTTGATATCTGTAGCTAGAAGCTCTCAGAGATGTCATGTCAGTGGTGTAAAATATGTACTTGGATTAATTTCATATAGTGTGTGTCTCTGTCTCTGTGGCCTTACCTTCCTGAGACAAACCACTGAATATTATTGGCAATTAAACTGTACCAGTATTTCTTTTTACTGCTAATAGTGATGAGATGAGGAGACCGTGTGCCTATTAAGTGACCAATAATGAAAACTTTCAGAATTTGCAATAAAAAATCTTGGATATTGCTTCACTACTTAGTACACAAATGTGTAATTTGTGCTTTCACATACTAAAGGTCCACTAAAAAAAATTAAACCGTTTTACAAGCTGAAATTATGGCAGTCAATACTACTTTTTGTTTCTGTTGTATTTCAAAAAATTAAAAAACCTTTTGGTAAGATTTGAATGTTGTCTAAGCGTGAGAGGAGCCTTGATCCTCACCTGACAATGCCTTTGTAAACTTCATGTACTATGAAACTGAACATTTCCTGCTGCAGTGAGTAATGCGATAGTCAGACGCAGCAGATACGGTGAGCTGTTAGAGAAAGAGCTGCTCACCTCCCTCCACCTTCTCAGCCAGGTAACCGCCTCCTTTCACTTTCGCTGACTTTCGCAGACTTATGTTGTGTGCAGCATAAAGTCAAATCATGGCTGCTCACATAATTATTGAAAATACCAACAACTGCCCGACAATAGTTTGTTTAGCTGCCCCAGACTTCTGTGCCCTGTGGTATTAAAAGGCATCGGCTGTTACCTCCAGTAACTGTAATGACAGTCGTTACGACTACCTGTGGCCAAGACTGAACGACCATCGTTGGCATCCTCACCTGAGGCCAATAGGTTATGTTTGAGTTTCCTGGGAAGCGATGAAAGGACAGCATTGTAAGTAGGGGATAAGTGGTGGCGTAGACCCCCCCACCCAACATCTTACAATGCTGTCCTTCGTCTTCCAGTATCTTCAACCAAGTCCAGTTGCCCTTGACTTTAACCTTCGCAATTTTAGGAGGTTTTAAACTTTAAAACTTTAAACTTTCAAGTCAATTTTAAATCAGCAACTTTTTACTTTTTTATACCAGTTACAAGTTTACTTTTACTTAAGTAAAGGTTCATCAAATTAATATTTTCACTTAAGCAGAATATTTCTTTCCACCTCTGATTTTGCCTCTTCAGTTTACACTGTACAGCTATAAACCAACTAAACAACCCAACACTAACTTATAGACACATGAAGTCCTGTTGAAATGTCTAAAATAAAAAGACAAGCTGAAGCTTTCTTACCCAAAATGAAAACAAGCAAAAACCAAAAGTCCATGTTGATTAGTGGCTTCGGATCGGAGACGTTTCAGTGTCTTTATAGTCCAGTTTATTTGATCTGCCTGTTATTTTATGGTATTTGAGGTGAGCTGTGCTGCAGTGGAAATAATGTCAGCTAGGTCATATTCTGCTGAGTTATTGCGCATCATAAATGGCGAGCTATATGAAATCATAAATCATAGCAGCTGCAAGTCCTTCATTAACTGTTTGAATCCACACTGCAAAAAATCCCATGTGATCTGGAAGTTTAGTGTTTTAAACTAATGTTTAGTTTTTATTAATTTGATTCCACTTTTGTCATTTTAATCACATTTTAATCGTATATGTCTGTAAATTTTACTTTTGTTTTCATCAAACTTTCATTTTTTTATGTTGTAAGCCACCTGAGCACTTGAACAACACTTACCTGGGGGCAAGGTGCTATATCAATAAAGTTTAATTTGTTGATTGACTGGAGGGGAAATCAGACACAAAAACAACCACAAATCAGTGAGTGAAGCCTGAACGTCAAATAATAAAATTCCTCTGACTTGTAAATCTTTAGCTTCTGTAAATTTTTATTTTTATTTGTTTGATTAGAAAAATATAATCGATCACCAAAAGGGAAACGGTCTCAGCCACGGACAGTAAAACTGTCCCGTGGTCACGTCTGTGCAGAATCAAAACAATACAAACCTCATCAAAGAATAAGCTGCTAATTTACTGCATTTTTCAAAAATCTACCAAGGTGTTTAAATAATAAAACCCCAACTAAGTCTACAGCCATGCTACTTGCTAAATGCTAACATGCATTGCTCATCATGTCAATGCTAACATGCTGATGTATAGCAGGTATACATGTTCACCATGTTAATTGAGTTTTGTGTGTTAGCATGCTAACATGCGCTAGTTAGCAGTAAGCAGAGTACAGCTGAGGCTGATGGGAATGTCATCAGTTCTGCAGGTATTTGGTCATAAACCAAAGTGTTGGACACAATAACATGTTGACCTGATGATGGCGCTGGATGGAAAGTCAGAGGATCACCAAAGGTTTTACAGCTCATCCTGAGGGGAGCATGAAGGTTATTTTTGGTAAATGCACCTCTGATGATTTAAACTAGAGGAGTTTTTACAGTGTAGCCTGAACTTGTGCATCAAGCTTGTTTTGACAGAAGAATCCCACTGATGATGGCAAAAAGCAGCCGTTGAGAACTGTTCTACCTGAAATAAACAGCTGAAGCACCCCTAAAAAATAATACAATTTATTATTTTCTGAAAATAGATGTTTTGTCCTCTAACGTTAGATTATGGAGAAGAGACAGCCAATTAACCTACAGTTTCATGTGGCTTTTCTTACATTAAACGGGTTTAATGTCGCTAAATACTGACATTTTTCAGTTTCTAATGTTTTACTTTATGATCCGTGACCGCACTGGCCGACCGGTCAACTGCAGTGGAACGCTGTTTGGGTGTCTGTCAGTCTGGGCCAAACTAATACAAGTAACACAGTATTGAGGGGGGATAGGAGTGGCCCCTCCCAACTTTGCCTGATCCTCGTTTTTGCTGAACTCTGATTGGCTCAACGGCGCCAATCAAAGTAGTTTACTTACCATCTGGGGCGATTTCAATCCCCAAACATTTTGTCGGGGCTCTCAGCCAGGTTTCTATGACAAGTGCAACAGAGGCAGGTGACTGGGTTACTGGGAAAATGAGTAAATGTAATATGGGAAAAGTCATATTAGTACAGTTCCTGCCCAACACTGATAACAGTAGCCTAGCTGTGCAGTTAGTTTTAACTTAATGTTAGAATATTATACTAATAGAGAGCGTCTCGGGTTACGTATGTAACCCTTGTTCCCCGAGAAGGGGAACGAGACACTGCGTCGGTGACGACACTATGGGAACGCCTCTGGGCGTGGCAGGGCTGAACTATGAATGAAACTACTCCAATCCTATTGGTGTTGCTAGAACGGTAGCGTGTGACGGCGTAACCGGAGGGGTATATAAGCACGCCAGCACACAGGACACATTAGCCCTTTTCTATGAAGTAAGGCACTCCAGGCGGGGTGAGGTGTGGCGGACCGACGCAGTGTCTCGTTCCCCTTCTCGGGGAACAAGGGTTACATACGTAACCCGAGACGTTCCCCTTTGAGGGAACTCGAACTGCGTCTGTGACGACACTATGGGAACGAGATACCCACTAAGGCCATGCCGAAACCCCGCCTGCCCCCAGCGTGCAGAACCTGACGGCACGACTAGGAGGGATGGGTGCCGGGTGCAGAAGGAAGGTCCAGACTGTAAACTGGATGAAAGTGTGAGGGGTGTCCCAGCCAGCCGCGTCACACAAATCCTGGAGTGAGGGCCCAAGAAGCCGCCATGCCTCGAGTAGAGTGTGCCCTTACAGCCATAGGTGAAGGCAATACCGCGCACCTGATAGGCCAGGGAAATAGTCTGAACGATCCAGTTGCTGATGGTGTGTTTAGAAGCGGGGAGCCCAGCCTTGGGGGACCCGAAACACACCAGCAACTGGTCTGCTTTCCTCCACCGGGAAGACCTCAGAGTGTAAATACTCGGTGCTCTGACAGGGCAGAGCAGATGAAGTCTCTCGTCCTCCGCCGTCACATGAGGTGGGGGATGAAACGCCTGCAGCACCGTGGACCCTGCCAGTCTGGCCGGAACCTTAGGGACATAACCTGGACAAGGGTGTAGGATGGCCCTGACCCTCCCCGGGGCAAACTCCAGGCATCGGGGAGACACTGAAAGTGCCTGGAGATCCCCCGCCCTCCTCAGAGAGGTGATAGCGAGGAGAAAGGTCATCTTAAGGGTCAGGGTGCTTGGCCTCAACCGACTCCAGGGGTTCGAAGGGGGCCTCTGCCAGCGCTTCGAGAACCACTGCCAGGTCCCAGGTGGGAACCCTGGAACGAGTCACGGTTCTTGTCCTCCTGGCTCCACGGAGAAAGCGCAAGACCAGTGGAAGCCTCCCCAAGGGCCCATCACTCAGAGGGGCGTGGAATGCTGCAATGGCAGCCACATACACTTTGAGCGTGGACGGGGAGAGGCCAGCGGAGAAACGGTGTTGGAGGATCTCCAGTATCACAATTACCAAGCAAGTAACTGGGTCCACCGCCCTTTCTCTGCACCAGATGGTGAACACATTCCACTTTAGGCCGTACATCCTTCTCGTGGACGGGTCTTTGGAGCTGAGCAACGTCTCGACTGCTCCTGTCGTCAGGCCCGCCTCCAGGAACTGTGCCCCCTCAGGGGCCAGACCCATAGCTGCCACAGGGCAGGGTGCGGGTGAAAGATCCAGCCGTCCACCTGGGAGGCCAGGGCGGGCCCTCGAGGAGCGATATTAAATCCGAGAACCACACTCGTGCCGGCCAAAACGGGGCTACTAATAGTAGATTGACGCCGTCCTGGCAGACCTGCTCCACAACGCCTACAGATGCAGCCTCGGCCACGTCTGCACTATGGCATTCAGCCCTAGCGGGGCTGGGGTCGGGAAGGAGAACCACAGGGGACAGTGCGCCGTCTCTCGGGACGCAAACAAGTACACGTCTATGGGGCCAATCTCTTCGCATAATAACTCCACCACCTCGAGGTGGAGTCTCCATTCCCCAGGCCTCAGCCCCTGTCTCGACAGCAGGTCTGCTCCCTGATTCTGGGTCCCAGGGACGTACATCACTCTGAGGGACAGCAGTCTCTGCCGGGACCACAGGAGGATCTGATGTGCCAGCTTGCATAACGGGCGCGAGCGCAGACCCCCCTGGTGATTCAAATGGGCCACCACTGCCGCATTGTCGGTTCTGACAACGATGTGGCGGCCGCGGGCAGAAAACTCCTCAGAGCTCTGAATACCGCCAACATTTCCAGGCAATTTATGTGCCAGGAGAAATGATGCTCCTCCCAGGAGCCTCTCGCAAAGCGGCTGTCCCATCCCGTGAGTGAGGCGTCTGTTGAAATAATTGTTCGGCGACAGATTGCTCCCAACACGAACTTTGGGACAGGAACCAAGGTTTCCTCATACAGACAGGGAACGAAGGCATCTGCTCGTAACCCGTATCAGACAGAGCGGATTTCCCCTCGGGGAGAATCCCTTGGATTTTAGCCACCACTGCAGAGCTTTCATGTGCAGTAGTCCGGAAGGTATTATACTGGACGCTGCTGCCAGGAGACCCTACACCCTCTGAAAGTGTACAGTGATGGCACAGCCTAACTGCACTCTGGTCACTGAGGATAAAAGGGATGGGGACCTCGGTCAGTCTCTCTCGGGGGGGTGGTGGGCCCCCCTACTCAAAACCTCAGGACCTCTTCCCCGAGCCCGCCGAGACTGAATGACGGTCCTCAGGCCCGTCTTCTCCGGGGGCTGTGGGCGAGAGCGTCGCCTCACATCAGGTTTGTTGAGAGGGACTACGGGAAGCGACACTTCGCTTCTGGCTCCGGTGGTAGGAGCTAGCCGAGGGCTGAGCTCGTCTCTCTTCAGCCGTCGCCGTCCTGGACCCAGACCGGCGGGGGAGATATTGCTCAAACGCCTCTCCCTGCCTTTGGCGTGCTGAAACCTGCTGACAACAGCATCCACTGCCTCACCAAACAGGCCAGTAGGAGAGAGGGGCACATCCAGGAGAAAAGCCTTCTCCTTTCCCTGGATGCCCGAGAGGCTGAGCCACAGATGGCGTTCCGTTGCCACTGGAACAGGCCGTCTCCTTGGTAACACGGAGTGTTAAGTCCGTAGCCCTACGGAGTTCAGTCAGGTCTTCCTCAGAGGGACCTCCCCCTAGATCACAGTCTTTGAGAAGATCGGCCTGGTACGCCTGCAAGGTGGCCATAGTGTGCGGGCTTGCACCAGCTCGACCCGCTGCCATGTAGGCCTTGCCCACCAAAGCAGATGTCGTCCGACATGGCTTGGTGGGGAGCACCGGCATCTGAAGCCGTGCTGCTTAGTTTCTGTCATGCTGCTGTAGTCCAGCAGAGGGGACGCAGTCAGCCATGCAGAGCAGCTCTCTTATTTATTTATTTTTTTTCTCAGTCTGTTCCATGATTTACACAACTCCATTGTGTATGAATGGCGAGGATCGACGCAGGGGTGGCGCTCGGGCTGCAGAAAGCTCATTGAGGTTACTGCCGGCCCGCGGCTCCTGCCCCGCCTCTCATAGCTGGGCGCGGACTGATGACGTCGGCCCGGCTCCTGGAAGTCATCCTCCATGATGCTAAGCACGTCTAGCTCCTCAGAATCAGACTGTGCAAGCCTCTCCAAACTCATACCTCGGGTGGGAGAAGCCGAGAAACGGGCTCCTGAACGGGGAAGAGAGGAGGCGGAGTCAGCAGACGAGGACCGGAAAAAGGCCTCAGCCGTCCCGACGCCCTCGGAGATATCACCACATGACCGTAGCCGCCGCAACGCTTCAGCAACCGCGGGGCCTGAGCCACGGGGAGAGTGCATCCGACTGTCTTCCGAAAGAGAGCCGCACGAGACCTCAGCACCCTCAGGGACCGGGCCTCGCTATGGCCGCAGGCAGCCCCCTTGAGAGCTGCCTAGTTTCCCCACATTTAAAAACAGACATTTCTGCTGAAAATTCAAGCAGAAAATGTCTCCAGAATGCATGAAATTACAAGTTTAATGCTCAATCTTTTGGGGGGGACCCTCAGACCCCCCTCACATATATTTCAGCATCAAATATTGAATCTAAATAGTGCTAAAAATCTTCGTCTTGTTCTCGTGCATCATCTCATGACCCAAATGTATCATCACGGCCCTAATCTGAGCCCTTATGTCCTCACCACTTTTCAACACAAAGAGACGCCCTTTTGCAAGGCATTGTATGCATGAGGCATTCTCATTCTGAAGTCTCTGATCATAGAATCACCCCTGCTGTGGACTGAAGGTTTTTCCTCTGAACCAATCAGCTGTCAGATATCCAGTTAAGTGTTTGCTGGAATTTAACTTCATGTGATTTAACTTTTTCCAATATTTAACCCCAACAGGCAACATGCAGCTGTGACTTTCCTGTCTTACTTTGAATATTATACTTTACACTGGGCTTGTGTTAAAGACATAGTTTGAGACAATAATAGTTTTCATATAAGGAAACTTGACCGGAAAAATTAAAAGTTCAAGTGAACTTGTTCATGTCGGGGCGTTACTTTTAAAATCATGAATTCCTGTTTTCAGTGAGTTTTAAGGACTTCCTTGTCTTTCTCCAAAGGCTCAGCCATTTTTTAACCGCTGCATTGAACTAACCAAAGTAAATGCACTGTGGTTAAACTGTAATCTGTCAGACCCTGAACTTTGACCTCTGTCCTCACAACAATTGCTTTTCTCTGAGGATCAATAGATTATCAAGACAGAGAGCAGTATGATAGTAAACTGGATACAACCTGTCGAATGAATGAATGAATGAATGAATGAATTTATTCAATCAAATCAGTTTGGGTTAAAATAGTGTTTACAGGTAGAAAACCACTGTGTGCCCAATCAAACCTTGAAGAATGACCTGTAATCAATAAATGCTCCATGTTAGCAGTACTAAAACAAACCTTTCTGTAATCCATAGTGTTCAATGACATCCTGTTTATAATCAGTTGAAATGAACACGTTATGGTGGGGTGTTATGGGGGGTGGTTGCTGTAGGGGGCGCTATAGCAGCACTTTCCACTGCTGGTTTGTCTGCATGAAGCGTGTGTGAAGCTGTTGGTTTAGTAAGCAGAGTCTAATCATTGTCAGCTGACCTACACTCACCCCGCTGGACTCTGTAAACCAAACACGGGGGAGTCGGGGGGGTTTGGGGGGTTAGTTGGACCTGCGGGCTGAAAGTTTGAGGTTGAACTCTTTTCATTCAGTTTGCAGACGCCATGGCTCAGCTGGTGGAGTGTGTCCCCAACTTCTCTGAGGGTCGAAACAAAGAGGTGGGTTATTTTATATTTCATCTTTTATTTCTTTACAATCTGGAAGTTTCTAAATCAACGCCTGCATGTTGTTTGAACAGTAAAGGTGTTCAGACTTGTAACACTTTATTACACTCTTATTTATCATTTATAATCATAATAAAATCTTTATCACTCACTATAATGTGGCTGAAAGCAGAGACATTATTCTGTGTTTATTAATGTGCAGTATCTGTTAACGTTTATTTTATGTGACTTATATAGTGACTCTCTCACTATCTCGGCATTTATTATCTGTTTATACACCGACATGAGCTTATTGATATCAAATAAATCAGTAGTCACTTTATCAACTCCATGATAGTTGGTAATAAAGCATTGATCACATGTCATTTGCTGATTATAAATGATACTTCAAGTGTTACTGATTTTCTGTTGTGGAAGGAACTCAGAAATAAACAAATTGGTTTTGTGACTGAGTGACACAAATTGATTGTAAACTAAATTTTACACCTTTAGTTGAGCGTGTTTCCAAGATCAATAATGAACTCAGACGCTCAATGATTGAAGGCAGGGTTAGTGAAGAAAGCGTCTCTGAGTCACAGTTCATGCAGCTGGATCCTGTAGAATAATACTTCAGATATATTTTGCTGTCAGGAACTGAACTGCATTTATATTTTAGGGATTTTAAGCAATGAGAGACTCTCCTTTACCAGAAGGACTGAAACCTGACAGATTGGAGTTTCCTGTATTTGTTTGCGTCCCTCCTTAAATAAAATCTCTCTCGCTATCTAACTGATGCAGCGGAGTCTCAAACCCTAGTTTGTTGCCTTTCTTTCTTTGTGTCATTTACAAGTGGACACCATTTTATTTTCATGAACTGCTCAGATTTAATACTTTTTTAGACATTTCAACATAGACGATAGGAATTTGATAATACACATGTCCATGTAACTAGTTGTTGGGGTGGAAGCTGAACATTTAGTTAAGATAAAGTTTTTGTTGTCTTTTTAGGACCAAATTCTTTGTGTTAAAATCCCTCCACTGCAGCTGTGGAAGATTCCCACTTGATTTATGTAACATTGACTCTTTGCATCATCTTCGGCTAAAACTTAAGATCGAGGACTTTGGATTTGCCCTCCGTCTCTAATAGTGTAGTCCTGTTAGGAGGGAGTCTCTTAACAGCCAGAGTGCAAATAAAGTGGTTTTGTCCCCTAAGTGGTTTTGACCACAGCTGTGTGAATTCTCAAACAACACAGTATTTTTCTTAAAACATGGTGTAACTGTTAAAGAGGGCAGGTGAAACAGAAGAAGGTGAGCAGATCTTTTCCTGGTGTTTCAGGTGATCGATGCCATCTCAGCAGCCATCTCCGGCACCGCTGGCTGCAGCCTGCTGGACGTCGACCCCGGAGCCTCCACCAACCGGACCGTCTACACCTTCGTGGGCTCCCCTGCAGCCGTGATGGAGGCAGCGCTGAACGCCGCCCGGCAGGCCTTCAGCCTCATCGACATGAGCAAACACTCAGGTGAGCCGCGCCCTTCGGCAACACGCAGGAAGTGTGACACAAGAGGAGATACCTGACGCCTGTGCGTTACCTGTGCAGGTGAGCATCCTCGGACCGGAGCGCTGGACGTTTGTCCCTTCATCCCCGTCCAGAATGTCTCCATGGACGACTGTGTCAACTGCGCCAACGTCTTCGGACGGAAACTGGCCGAACTGCTGCACGTGCCCGGTGAGACGCCACGTCACTGATTCGTCTAAAAACATTTGAATGATGTGCGGGACGCAGAAAACAATAAATAAAACTTTTCATGCATCAAAATGATAAAGAAAATAACCAGCAGGAGGGAGACTGTGTTGACTCTAATTATTAACATGCACACAAACAAACAGACAGGACAAAACAACAATAAGACGTTCTGACATCAGCCACAACAACAGGAAGTTGTTGCTGATCGACCTTAGCATCCGCAGCAGCACGGCTAATAATCTTTATTCCACCCACAGTTTATCTTTACGGAGAGGCAGCACGAAAAGAATCTAGGAGAAGTCTTCCGTCTGTCCGAGCCGGAGAGTACGAAGCTTTACATTAGAAGGTGAGGCACTGACAACCAATCAGCTGCTGCTCATTTATTCAGTTATTTAGCATCTCTTTCTTCTTCATTTCAAAATAAAAGTCCGGGAAAATTTCCCCAATAAATCTTAGACTGTATTTCCCATGTTGGTTCTCAGACTCGGTTCCCTCCGTCAGGTGCTGAAAGGACACATGCTTTATTTTTTCTCTCCTCCAGTTGAAGCGCGACGATTGGGCCCCCGACTTTGGCCCCGCCACGTTCGTGCCATCGTGGGGCGCCACTGTAACCGGCGCTCGCAAGTTCCTCATCGCCTACAACGTGAATCTGATAAGCACCAAGGAGCAGGCTCATCGCATCGCCCTGGACGTGCGGGAGCAGGGCCGAGGGAAAGACCAGGTGCATGCTGGGAGTCTGACTAAATTATCCGGTTCATTTAGCTTCAGTCTTTTCTGATCTGAAGTCAGATTCACTTGCTTCGGTATATTTTCCAGTTTCTCAGATTTACTGTTTTCTGTTTACTGAAAATATACAGACCTGTGAAACAAATACTTATTATTTACTTATTACTTTCTAACTCATTACCTTCTCTGTTGTTCATTACTTACTAAACTGTTACTGTCTTACCCAAACACATTCCTACATTCTTACTACTTACTTTATCTTTACTTATTAGATACTTACTACTTACTTATTTACTACTTAGTGCTGAATCTATTTGTTACTTACCGCTAACTACTTTTTAATTACGTTTATGTCACTTACTGAACTGTTACTGCTACTTCCATCATATTTAGTTCCACAGTGCTTACTTGTACCTAACTTACTATATACTCACTACTGGTTACTAGATTGTTAATTAGTCATTTCTTACTACTTTCTCAGTTTGAAGGTTTATTATAGTTTGTTCAAAGGTCACATGATGTTTAATAAGTAGAACAACTTTAAAAGTCACGTTAGGGGTCTTGTGGGTAAATGAAATGGGTCTTTATCCAATAAACACTTCCGTGAATCAATCTTTAAATAAATCCCTTAATATGACTTTATTCAGCTTTAAAAGTAAAACCAGTAAAACCAGTACACCAGACCCAGTCCAGTTAATTATCCATCATCAGCTGGACTCAGCATGACCTTTAGTGACCTCCTTGTGTGTGGAGCAGCCTGGGGTGCTGCAGAAGGTGCAGGGGATGGGCTGGTACCTGGACGAGGCCAACATCGCTCAGGTGTCCACCAACATCCTGGACTACGAGCTGACCCCCCTCCACACCGTGTACGAGGAGATCTGCAGGGACGCTGAGGTCAGAGGTCAACACACTCTCTCACACACAACTCCAAGTTACATTCAACAAGTAGAAATATCATTTTAACGTTTAAAGCACCACCTACGATATCATGAAAAAGAGAAAAGCTGAAACATGTACAATTTTAAATATTAAAACACACATACCCCAGTACACCCTGGTAATTTAGAGCTTAAAAATGGGATGAGTCTTCTCAGTCTGCTTTCACACACTGCTCTGTAGTTTGAAGATATAAACAACAGGAGAATGCTTCATTGGCCTGTTGGATTCAAAGGGAATCTGGTGCCTCTGCAGCTCCTGTTTCATCATGAAGAGTCAATACTTCTGATGGAAATGTGTGTAAAGGAGGTTTTGTTGGGGTGTTTTTTGTTTTTTGTTCCTGCTATAAATAAAGAACGTGTGTTGTGTTCAGGACCTAAAGCTGCCTGTAGTCGGCTCTCAGATCGTGGGTCTGATCCCTCTGAAGGCTCTGCTGGACGCTGCTGACTTCTACATCCGCAGAGACCAGCTCTTCATCATCGAAGAGGAGCACAAAGTCCGGCTGGTCAGAGACGAGTCTTTCTAAAAAGCAGCGCTGCGGCTGTTTGTGAGGACGAAATGTGACGTCTCTTTGTTTGTGTGTCATCAGGTGATCAGTAAACTCGGCCTCGACTCTCTCGGCCCGTTCAACCCGAAGGAGAGAATCATAGAGTGAGTTTATGCTTCTGATACTATGACACTATGTTTGTGAACACAGATGTTATAACCCCACAACTTTGATTTATATAATGTAGAGACGAGCTGACAAAACCAGTTCAGAGTTCGTGTCTGTAAACCAGTTTATATTTTTCTACTGCAGCTGGGGGCCCTCTGCAGCGCCACGCAACTTTCTAAATTCTTCAATCTCACTGAGAAAAGAAGTCAGGTTGAAATGAAATTTGCTTTATTGGCATGAATGTTAAAACAACAGCATTGCCAAAGCTTCAATGAAAATAAAAAAAAACAATTCAATTAATATAGTTCATCAAATAAATAAAATAAATTAATACGATTTCTATATAATTTTCTAATATTTTATAGTTATAATAGTTTATTTCTTTACGTCTTCTTTCATCACGGCTGTGTCTCCATCTCTGCGCAACACTTGGCGGTTTGCACCTAAATACAGAGGCTGTTGCATTTAGGTTTGGTAGGTCAGATTGCGTGTAGTAAATAAATGTATTTGCATGTTTCCCTGCCATAACTTTGCACAATAAAATTGAAACGCCACAAACTAAGTAGTAAATGAACAACAGGTGCTATCTTGCACTTTTGAAAGATGTCATTCTGCGTGCGCACCGTTAGTAGATCAGCTTTTGTGTTAATTTGCTGGTGATATCAAGTTTGCACACGTTTAGTAAACAGGTTTAGACCTTTAGTAAATCTGGCCCCTAGAGTAATAACAGTAAAGAGTATTTACTGTCCTCCAGTGGTCACACTGAGTCACTACAACACTAGGCTGCACTAATGTTTTTCTACCTGTGTAGGTACATGGTGAGGTCACGGGAGGACAGCCGGCTGGTGTCTCT